AATTACAAAGCCTCTAATTAATTAGATTAATTTGTTTAATCGAGTCCCGGCCAAGCAGCATGTTGACATTTCTGCTTATGATTAAACAACTATTAGACAGATTGCAATGAACTGAATGTCACCTTTGCAGTCATGCCCTTAACAAAATCCAATAGACTTGTTCTGCTTTTTTGCTATTTAATGTATTTAAATTACATTAGAATGGGTTAAACTATTAGCTTTATAGGAAACACACAAAACAAGGGTTATATTACTAAACATTTCCAAGTGTGCTTAAAAATGTACACAACAGTATGAATCGAAATGTATCTAATAATGCCTTTACCACACTGGGAACTTTGTCATAGACCTCCAGTCAGCATATTACAGTCAGTGTGACTTTTCAGTCTTTTCCAGTGTGATAGCTTGAGGTGTTTTATATAGAAACTCACACTTATAGTAGCCAGGACAATGGGACACCCAGACCCCTTACAATCACATTGCCTAGTGTCAAAGGTGTTTGAAGTGGGTGGATAAAAAATGAATTGCTGAAGACATAAAAGCTTTGGGGTGCTTTCTTGATTTATGTTGTGATAATAGCTCGGATAACGTTCTCTTAAAGTTAGATGGATGACCTGCTAGGGAGACATGTGTCATCGGTAGTGCTTTGTTCTAATCAATGTATGGTGTGTGTTTTGTCACTCCAAACTTTTAATGTGATACACACACTCGCTCGGGTCTTGCTTGGCAGTGGCGAGCGGTGATATCCCGTCTAGTGCAGCTGGTGTGCAGCCTCTAGGCAGCCCTGTGCTCTGGTTGGGAAGCCTGGTTTGATTTTAGTCCAGGGCAAACCAGGACTTTCACATTCCTGCTTTTCAATTGGAGTTATCGTATTTGTTACTGCCTGGGAGAGCGATGTAAATATATGCTTACATATGTGCTTTTAGAGGGAAAGGCCCTGGAATAATGAAGTCTAAGGTGAGGTGTCGTTTGCCCTCAGGACTGGCCAGTGTAATATCACATGACACTTTCTTTTTTTCTTTCTCTCCCCCACTCATTCTCCATCTTCAAGTGAGGCCGTTCCAAGCTGGAAAGTTTGCGGCTGTTACATAAACTCCAGCTCCAAACGGCTGCAGGGTTCAGGAAAAAGGGAAGAAAAGCGGGAGAAGACAAAAAGCTGAGTGTATTGTGGGAAAATGAGGCTCAAAGATAAAGAGGATCTGGAACGGGTAAAACCTGAATCATCAGGAACGTCTACAAAACTCCTCTCCATCAGATCCTGGAGAAAAGAGGAAGAACAAAAGAGCAGGAGGAAATTGGAAGCAGAGTGAAGGCAGCTTAGCAGCTCCCATCCAAAAAGCCTGGAAGAAAGGCAAGGAGGAAAAACTCAAAACAAGGCATTAAATGGCTCGGCGGCGTCCAGGACTCTGGATGAAACCAGCCAGTTCACTCCTGAGACACAAACTAGACGATTCTCAAACTGACATGTCTTCCTGATTTCATTGTTAACACGGTGTCCTTTATGACACTTGCAATCCAAGATTTTGTTTAGCATGTTAGCTGGATCTGATCCATACTTTTGTCTTTGAAGTCACCCAACACTCCTGATGAACAAAAGACAACTTCAGGAGTCCTAAAAAATGTTTTCACTTTCTATTGGTTGAGCTGTCAATGTTAAAGATTGAGCATGATTTATTAGAGTTATAAGAAGGGCTTAGAGTTTTTCTGTAAGTGGTTGGTGATTCATATTCCAAATGGCTTGCAGATGCTGTAGCAATTTCAGTGGGTACATAATGTGACTGGATACCATATCGACTCATAATTACCTCTCAAAACCACTTCCATGTTTATTTGATGAGGTGTTTCTGCACATAAATCCCAAAAGAACATCCCCCTAAAACTCAATTTCACCACAAACAGGATGTTTCATAACAGACAAGTGTGACTTATGTAACAACAACTCCCATGGTCACGAGAGCATCCGTTCAGGTGCAGAACAGACACAAGTTCATTAAATCAAGCACCTTTTTCCCATCGCTTTACTGCCAGAGAGCATTATTAGGTCCATAAAAATGTTTTTTTGATCATGACAGACTTGTTTGCTGACTGCATTCTCTGATTTGAATGAGTGCTGTTCATCCTGTTGTAATGTCTTCCTTTTTCACTGATCTGACACAAAACACACATTCCGGAAACCTCTGGAAACCCGGGGTGAGCGCATCCCCAGTCAGTTCTTTCCTCACCTGAGATACAGCACATTTCCCAAAAGGTTTGACTATCACACATCCTTCATTTGATTTAGAGACTGCTAGATTCCCTCAAGTAAATCAGTAAAACATTGCGAAGGGTAAGAAAATGGAAAGAAGGAGGAGTGGCTGAAACAATGAACAAGACAATAAAGTGGGGAAACGGTGAAAATGGAGTGTAGGTAGAAGAAAGGGATGCGGTATTCAATAAGATCAGGTCAATACCAGGCTGTGTGCTGGGCTTTACTGTCACAGCGTGCCGTTCACCATTTGTTTCCTATAAAGACCACATGGAAACGTTTAGCTGACTTAAAGCAGATCGCCGCACGTTGTCTCGGCTCGCAACATTTGCTACTTGTTTTTCAGGTCCGTCTTAATAGAGTTTTATACTAAATATAAGGCAACTGCATTAAATATTACTGATGATAAAAACATAAAATACAAAATGATGCATGTGCCAATGGGAGAAACCCAGAGTTCATGTATGTACACAATAGATAAAAATAGCATCTTCAAAGCAATTCCTCATGGCTCAGATAGTCTTAACAATTACTCCTTTTTCTATGGTGTTTTCTTTCTGCCACAACACACATCTGCAGTCTTGCAAAGAGAATGGAAATCACATATGGACATGTTATGAGGAGTGAAGTCATAACAGAGCTAGTTTGTGGTCTTCATACTTTCTTGTTTAATGGGTAAAACTGCAGAAACAATCAACAGATCTCTCACCAGACCTATGGGTAAGTGCTGGGAGACAGTAAAACGGCCTGTTTGGACAAGGTCCTTCTAGTGTGCATTAACACCTGTAGGAGCCGCATTTAAGTTTATTTTGTTTTGATTTATTTTGAACCTTTATTAATGCATTTTTCTGTTTCAGTGAGAAGTGTGCTTTGCTCAGGTGAAGGGGGCGGGGCTAAGGCTTTAAGTTGGAGGTGCGGTGTGTGACGGGAGAGCAGCAGGAAGCACCGTCATTGACACGCAGACGCAACCTTATACTTAGTCAAATACAGATTATTAGGATCTGCTGTTTAAGTTTATGTTAAATATTGTTTTCGTATTTTGTTTAGCTGGAAATAAACGTTGAAAAGCAACTGAAACGTCCAGTGGATTGTGTACTGCGAGTCTGACACTGCTTCCGAGGCCCAAGCTCTACATGTGGCCAAGAACAATAACTTTTGAGGTGAAGGTTACAAGACAAACTTTTGGGGATTTTGGCCACTACAACACCTATTTGTGAGTAGATAGGTTGTAATAAATTCATCGTGCACTTTAGCCTCTGTGTACACTATGTATGTGTGTTTGTCAAGTCAAATTCCTGCGAGCATATGGCAGAGTGATACAGGTTTTCACAAGTACACAAACCCAGCTGTGCATCCCCTAGATACACGGCTCTAATTCTGCCAAGTAATTTACATTGAGCTTCTGCACAAAAAGCTATTTCCTACTCGCTTTCCATCCAACATCCACATCAGAGGCCTACAAGGTGCATAGATATGCGTACGTAATGTGTTGAGAGCTCGCCTAATGGCCCACCAGGCTTATTGCTGTCAGGGCGCTTCCACTTTCCATTTGTTATCCTTTTAAATGAGCACTACCCCCAGAAAAGAGTGGGCAGATGCTTAAAAATAGGAAATGGAAGTATGAAATCCTTAAACATCTTCCCTGCCATTTGAAATAAAGACAGCATGTTGTTTTGGTTTGTCTAATCTCCAGCTAAAGATATTGGCATCGTCCACTCCATTGCTTAAATACTGCAAATGTTCTGCTCCTCCCATATTTAAAATCTGAAAATTAACCTTTTATTTATATTTTCTGGCAGCTCCCACATAAAGTGAATGTTTTTTTCCTGCAATGCCCAATTAGACCTTATTCTGGGAATGATGCTGCCTACAGCTGAATGCAAACAGCGACCTCTGGTGGCTTGCCTGGATACTAAAACAGTGAAAGCAGAAATGGGTTCATTTAATTGCAGCTGTAATATTGGATGTGTAGAGCTCGAATGTTTCCAGCAAGTAATAGCTGACAGGTTTTTGCAAAAAGGAAATCTGTATCTGACAATCTCTTCCTCAAAGTGCTTTCAGCGGATTGATGACTTTGGTTCAGATTTTATTGTTCTGTTACAATAAAACAAACAAAAATAAGAAAAACATGGCTAATGTCCTCAGTGTATTCAGACCAGATTTCTGCTTCTAAAGCAAGGCCAGGGATGTGTGTGTGTGTGTGTGTGTGTGTGTGTGTGTGTGTGTGTGTGTGTGTGTGTGTGTGTGTGTGTGTGTGTGTGTGTGTGTGTGTGTGTGTGTGTGTGTGTGTGTGTGTGTGTGTGTGTGTGTGTGTGTGTGTGTGTGTGTGTGTGTGTGTGTGTGTGTGTGTGTGTGTGTGTGTGTGTGTGCTGTGTTTTCGGTTATTGACGAGGTGTGCAGTAGGTCTAAATGAGAAGTTCTGTTACATTACTTCAAGGTGATGTCAAGCCATTCACAGGTGTGATAACGAGAACCAAGCACCGGGGATACAAACACACATATGCACACACACAACCACAAACACACACACACACAACCACAAACACACAGATTACTTCCATGTACCCTGAACAAACATAAGAGAGGCATTAGGTCTGTTATTGTTTGCCTTTGGAAAGCGTCTGCGGTTCTCTCAAGAAATAACAGTCCCACAGTACACTGAAGCAGGACTGACAGGGTGGTACAGAGGACACAGAGTGTGTGCGTGTGTGTGTGTCATAAAGTCTCTACACTCAAACACACGAGAAAAATCATCATTAAATACGTCGCTTTTATTTGACATATCCTTCTACATAAATTAATTAACATGCCATATAATTGGCAGCGATAAAGTGTGATTTCTTAAAAAAAAAAAAGAGAGATAACCAACAAGACAAACAAAGACATTACGAGGTAAGGCTCTCCAGCCATGCACCAACAAAAGAAAGTCTATACAAATGAAAAGCCATCATTATTTTCAAGAAAGATTCAATATTTTAACATTTAATGAGAAAAAAAAGTGACTTTTCGAGAGGGATGTCGACGGATAAATGGCCCAGCCTTACAACACTTCTCCCTCAAACTGGAGCACAGATCGGTGCCAAGGAAATGTTAGTTGAGATGTACCACTCATCTTGATGTTCTGAGTTCAGTTCATTGTCTGATTTTGTTCCTTGTATGACTCAGTCCGCTATCTCGACACAAGAAGTGGAGGGAAGGATCTCTTTTCCGATCACTCGTCTCCTGCGGGGAGATTTTCCTCGATCCTTTTTATGAACTTCATGCGGATTTCTGTCACATTGTCTCCTCTCAGAGTGTCCTGAGCAAATCTCACATCCACGGCCATCTGGACCTAAATCAGACGAATAATAGGTCACATTTTTATGCAAAACATATGTTCTAAATGTGCAAAGGAAATCTATTAGAAATTGAGTTATTGTTATTGATTAATCTCCCAATTATCGATTAATCGTGGTCAATAAAAAGTGTGACAAATGTCCATCACAGCTATTCAAAGTCCAGTGTGATGATGTCTTTTAATATCTTGTTTGGTCGGTCTTCAAAACTAAAATGTTCAGTTGAATATAAGATTTAAAAATAAGAGAAACAGGGAATTCTTCTGCCATCTCATTGTTGTAGCTCAGAAATCATTGCCTACTTTTTTTTAAGACAACTTGATGTATCTGAAGTGTCGTTTAAATCATTGAGTATGTTGACTTTACCATCTCCAAGGCTCCTCTGAGGACTCCACACAGCAGGTTGGAGTAGACCAGCGTGCTGTGGTTATCCGGCAGCTCCACAAAGTCCACCAGCGGGTTGTTCTCCAGGATGAGAGAGAATTCATCTCCTGCCGGGCTCCAGTTGGACACACTGGGGGTGGTTCCCAGGTACATCTTAAATGCAACCTGAAAACAACCACAACACGTTCACAAGTGGATGAAACAAAGAGAATATCCAGGATTACTCAACTGAAAGCAATAATGTTGGATTGCACATTAAATTAACTCAAATGCCTCGTCTTTTTCGCACACACACCTGATATCTGATAACTTGGTCTCTGTTGCTTCTTTTCCTCTGCAGCACTCTGTCCCTGTGATGTGTCGGCATGCTTCCTCATGCAAGCACAAAGTTTGCTCGCGCTAAAATATTCACTGACAGAGCGGATGTTTTTTATCTTAAATAGTCTGAATCCGCAGTGCAGACAACAGTTTCTTTAGACACACTGAAGCTAAAGAAGTAGCAACACAACTTAATAAACCATTCATGAAATGGAATGAAAATCTGTTTTTGAACAATAATAATAGCTTGGATTTATACAGCGCCTTTCATGAGACCCAAGGTCGCTTTACAAGGAAGAACAGGGCAAAACAAAAGGCAGTCAGACAACCAGTCAGACAAAACAACAAATAGATTAGGGGCCAAAGGCCTAAGTGAACAGATGGGTCTTGAGGGCCCTTTTGAAGGCGTCAAGTGTGGGGATGTTGCGGATCTCCGCAGGGAGAGCGTTCCAGAGGGTGGGGGCTGCCATACTGAAGGCTCTGTCCCCGAAGGTGATGCGGGGGTGGTAAGCAGGCCAGAGTCTGAAGACCGCAGACCTCCAGATACATTTCACACAAAACTCTGAGGTGGTTTCAGAGTTTGGCTAGAGCTCATAAGATATCCTCGGGCAGGGCTATCGCTGCACGTTCCAAACCGCTGTCCCTCAGTGGTCCTCCATTTACAGGCATGACCCTTCTCTTCATGACCAAGAGCCAGATCCCTGAGCTAGTGTGGAGTTACATCTGTGGAATAACTCCACTAAAAAGGCAGCAGTTACACCTTAAAAACAGCTGGAGAGTCATGAGAGGGGCCTGCTTCATGGTCTGCCTGCATCTTTGTGTTCATCAGTCATAAAGGGAGTCTCACTTTTGCACAGCCAGACATGGATATGTTACAAATCCACAGGCCGGATTAATACAGACAGAAATATTAAAGTGCAACATATAACTAGGGATGCTCCGATCGCCAGTTTTGGGGCCGATCACCGGAATCAGTATCGGCCAATACCGATCGCCGATCCGATCGAGTGGGCGGGGCCTATGGGGATCTTCCATTTAAAGTGATGTTTAAAACTCAGTTAATGCGGCTCATTCACTGGCGCTTCCACAAACAACAACCAACATAATTATTACATTCAAATGAAGTACATTATTCAAGTTTACATTAACTTTGGAGAATAACACGGAAGAAATGAGCGGAAGCGCTCTCTTTTCCTCTCTCCTGACAGCCTGTCCAGACCCGGCGGCAGACATACATCTCTGGGCGGGCATTTGATTTACCAGGGCGGGCCCACCACGACACTTACATTGTCGTGTAGCACGCAGGCAAACTTGAGCGCACACAGGGTGGAGAGGTAGAGTGAGGTTGAGCGATGGAGAGAAAGGGAGAGAGAGAGAGATTGAGCGAGGCAGAGAGCCTGTGCAGCGGTCTGCTTGCGCACAGAGCAGGAGTTTGTGAGAGAGCCGGCTTGAGAGTAAATTTCTCTTCAAAATATAATTGATTGCCAGCTGACTTGCTTGCTCGTTGGTAACATAGGCCTAACTGATTTCTTCTAATGTGCCTGCATCTGGCGCTGAATTGCCATATTCCTTTCGTGATCCACTAGCAAGAGTAAACTAACTGACAGGCTGCTGTGCCGCATCTCACTCAAAAACCCACACACCTCAACCCAGCGAAAAAACAGTCTTGCGCGCAGCCTTTCATTCAGAATTTCCTAGCAAAATAAAAAAAATGCTATTAAACTAATACAAAAATAAATATTAGGACAAAGCCCTACAAATAACAACAATAAACATAATAATAAAACAATAAAAATGTGGTATTCAGCCCTGATTAAAACAGCCTGTCAGTATCTCATGCAGCTCACTGATCCAGTACTGAGTGACCCGACAGTGAAGAATAAATATATGTATAACTAGTTTAGCTAGTTCCAGAGGTAGATCAAATAGCTAAGTGTGTTAGGTCTAACTCTTAGTGTGTGTTTTGCTCCGCTCACCGGTCCGTCAGAGGGCGGAGCTGCAGGATTTCTGCTTCACACACGTTGCATACCGCTATTTTACTGTCTTTTTCGGACACCTTCAAATACTGCCAGACTGGTGAAGCCATTTTAGCGAGCTTGTTTTGCCGCGCACAGAGAAAAGTGCCATGTATTTTACGTCATTATTTTACGTCATCATTTTACGTCATGCTCTCGCGATCTACATTTTTAGAGAGCAGCGATCGATCGGCAGAGAGTGAGAATCGGCCGATCGATCGGAGCATCCCTACTCATAACAGGAATACAGGGATGCAACCTCATCAGGTATGAAAAAGGTGACAAGGATCCGAGCCCCCCGACCCCACGGAATATCGGCTTTAAAATGAGGAATAACAGGATGTTAGCAGTCAGAAGAACTAAAGCAGCAGGTAATAATAACAGAAACGCCAAAGAGTCACATCTAATAGAAATATATAAAAGCATTTATTTTAATTGTGTAGCAGTCAGTTTATCATTTTGGCAGCACTGTTGAGCATTTTGGAAATGTATTGTCATGCCTCTGTGCAAGGCGTAGTCTTTCTATCTTTATAGCCACTGGTGTAAAGTAACTAAGTTCATAAACTCAAGTACTACTTGGGTACAATTTTGAGATACTTGTACTTTATTTAAGTATTTCAATGTTTCTTTTGCTACTTTGTTCTTCTTCTCCTCTACAGTTCAGAGGTACATGGTGTACTTTGACTCCACTACATGTATTTAATCCCTTTAGTTACTTCACAGATGTGGATGAATGATGTGAAATATAATCAAGTGTTAAATCAGACTTTAGCTCCACCTGGAGTAAATTCTCAAGCTACCCTGCAGTATACAAAGTCATTCAAACTAGCTGCACCTTCACCAGCTTTGAGAACACTTTCATGATCAATCATTATACAACATATCATATATATTATTCTGAAATGGACCAATCTGCACAATGACTACTTTTACTGTCGCTACTTTCACTATATTTTGATGAGAATACTTTTGTACTTTTACTTGAGGAACATTTTGATTGCAGGATTGTTCCTACATTCTGGGACTTCTACTTTAACTCAAGTACAAGATATATACGTATACCACCTCCGTTTATAGCCTATGAAAAAAACTATTCGAAAATGAAGGCTAAAGCTAACGTTAGCAGATAGTGACAATGTATGCTAGTTAGCTAGCTCAACGATAATATTGCGACAGAAAAACGTTTCAGTTCACATCACGCTCTGCTGCTCCGACAGGGAGCTCTGCTCTGGACTCCTGAACGGCCCGTTCTAACAGCTGTTCACCAGCGGTCAGTCTGTGCCACAGTGACTCCGGACAACACAGTTAATATTAACGAACGCACCCGTAGGTAATGTAGCTGCTGAAGCTAGATACTCATCGTGGAGCAGCAGAGCCTTTTTATACATCCATGAGCAGAGCCGACAGGCAGGAAGACTCGAGCACACAGCTCACGCTTCATTATAATATATAAAAAAAGAACACCATGCGTGTCATGATGGCACATAGCAGCTTGCGGCCGCAGATTACTCCGGAGTATGTTGACAGTGTTACTGAGAAAGGGTGTCACTAAATGTGCATCACCTTTCTGAAGAGTGATATTAAATGTCAGTCCACATCAGGGTTTCCGTTAGCCGGTAATTACCGGTTTTTAGCTGGTAAAATTGATTGAAAACCGGTCAATTAAAAACCTGCCGGTCAAAATGTCTGGTAATAATTAGGAATGCTCCGATAGGTCGGCCGCCGGTCATTATCGGCCGATATTCACTCTTAATAGATTTGATCGGTGCTCTCTATAAAGGCCGATCAGGAGAGCTGGATCGTATCGATATGGACATAAACGCGAGTGAAGTATAACCGGGGACGCGAGAGAGAGATCAGATCAGCTTGCTGAGTCAGAGACCGAGACACGCAGCTCTGCATGATCACCTGAAGCCCCGCCCACTGTTTAGCGAGCTGCATGAGAAACTGACGGCTGTCAGAGAGAAAGGGAGGGAGAGGGGGAAAAGAAGAGGCATCCGTTTCTCCCGTTTATTATTCAAAGTTAATGTAAACTTTGAATAATGTACGTCTTCATCTACTACAAGTAGTTTGTTTGAAATGTAATAATTATGTTTTGTTTGTTGTTTGTGGAATAATTTATTGAAAAATGAATCTGAATTTTCGATCTGTTACGATTATAAACTATATAAAGTATAAAATATAAAAATATAAAAATGTTTTAAACATCAGCATATCTGCTCATAGTCCGGTAATTAGTCGTGCTAACGGAAACTCTGCAACACAATTCTTATTATTATTAGTGAAATATGACCGGTAAGTTTCAAATTTGTCCGGTAAAATAAATTCTGCCCGGACATTTGACCGGCGAGAAAAAATCCTAGCGGAAACCCTGGTCCACATGTAAGTGAATCTTGGCCTTCTGAATGTAAAGGATACTATCACCAAAGCAAAGAGGAATGGGATCTTGGCCTCAAGTTTAGAAGGAAGCACACTGGGACTTTAAGTTTTTTTGCTCATTCACAACCTTTAGTTTCCTCCAACCTCTAGCAACATCCTTTCCTTCATCAATTATTTGGATCTGTCCTCCCTCCTTCCCTCTCTACCTTTGTCTTTGGGTCAAGACCACAGTCTCGATCAGATTGGCCCGAAAACATTTACGAATTACCTTAGCGATGACATCTGCGGTTTTCTCGGAAATCCTGACACCTGCCAATGCTTGAGCGCGCCAGGAAGTCCTCGATCAGACGCACTCCGATGTTATAACCCCTATGAAGACAGAGAGGGATTAGCAAAAGAAACAGATGAAGTCATTTTTCCTTTCCATAGTAGAAGAAAAGTACTGAGGAGATTATAGTAAAAGAGATATTAGACATTTCCAAATGCTCCAAACATTTTAGAGTCATATGCTTGGCAAATGATGATAACTGTGGTAATAGAAGGTCAAGTCAACTTAACATAATACAGAATCTAGAGACAACTGATGCATCCCGATCCTAAAAAGGTCTGAATCTGACAGGTTGGCAGAGTGGGCCGTGCGCACTCACTGCCTTCTAAGGACAGGTAAGACAATCCTCATCATCTCTAAGCTTGGGGAGAGCTTAGGGTAGACGCACAACCAACAAGAAAAGTACATCAAGTCCAAAGTCCTGTCAGCTTGACAGACTGTTTTGAATACCTGAGTTATAAAACCCATCCATTTCATTAATCTTATTTTGCGGGATGACAGTATGCAACATTGCCTTCCAGATATTTAGTTCTCTCATAAAAAACACATGAACTTCAAAATGACAAGATCAGAGGGAAACCTTTGACACAGAACTGTGAGTGTGTGTGTGTGTGTGTGTGTGTGTGTGTGTGTGTGTGTGTGTGTGTGTGTGTGTGTGTGTGTGTGTGTGTGTGTTGTGTGTGTGTGTGTGTGTGTGTGTATTATGAATAGAGGGCAGCAGAATTTGGCAGAGCAGTGTTAAGGTGCAACTTAAAGGGAGAGATCCAAGAGGCCAGAAAAATCCCTTCCATTCTGTTGATTCAACAAGCAAACGATAAACCTTTACATGTTGAAATAAATTAACTCAGTTTATGTACTCAAGAGGAAAGGTTATATCTTGAAATAGTTAACATACACTAGTTCTGTATGTGTCACTGTCTTTGGTATTGGTGTGCTTTAGTATTTTGAAGTTGGTATGTGATATGTATTGTAATGTGAAACCTTACCTTGTGAAAAATTAAATTGACTTTTACTGGCATACACAAATAACTACAACAAAATATATTAAATAAAGTAAGGACAAATGCACTTAATAAAACAATTTGGGATAAGAAAATATAATGCTTTGTTTGCATAAAATATAGCAAAAAGTTATTGTGGTTGCTAACTTGCTAGGCATCTACATCGTTAACTAATGTTGGGTGTGAACAAAACATATCATTAACCCTAATTTACCATTAAAAAGGCTTAAAACACTGGAACACATTACCAACAGAAGTCACAATAATGACACAGAGATGTACACTTTTTTACTACAAAGGTGTATTGCTTGCTGAAAGGCAAAAATAGCAGTAAGCATTTTGTGAAATGTCAAATTAAATGTGGTAACCGTGGAAGTGTGTTGTCCGAGTGTTTTTTATAATGCACATCAGTTCTCTGAATTGAAACAATGTTAAATTGCATTCTCGCTGTCAAATTACATGAATACAAACACAAGTAAATGACACGCAATGTTGGTACTTACATCTTGTCCAGTTGTTTATTGACTTCCTCGTCATTCTCGTAGTCTTTACAGAGCTGGGTGACCAGGGCCCCGTAGGTCAGGGTGAACAGCTCAGAGTTCTACAACAGGAAATGAAAAGGTTTATTTTATTCCTGCTGCTAAAATCAAATTAATCACACTGGAATAAGGGCATAAAAGTTAACCGATAGAGTCTGGCAAAACAGTCAGCCTCCTTGTTGAATGGGGAAAACTACCTGGGGAAAACCTTAAATAACACATAGATCTATATTGACGGTGATGTGACAAACAGATAATGATCAAATGAGGTAAAAAAAATTGTGTAAATACCGCTATTTGATTCTATTTTTTATATCATGACACAGCTAAAGTTAAACAAGCAGGAAGCATGCTAGTCAATTATAAATAAATTCCTCTAATGTGTAGAGGTGCATTCAAATACAGGGCTACTTTCTGCACCATGTCTGTAACAGATCATACTGGGGAAAGCGTCTGGTGCTGAAATGACGTGTGATTGCATAATAAAACAATTGATTAATTAATAATAATTGTACACTTTGAATAATAAACATGACGTATATACATGGGCGTAATTTCCACTGGGGACAGGGGGGACATGTCCCCCCCACTTTTCAAAATCCCGTTTGTATCCCCCCACACTTTTCAAATGTTTGTTTTTTAACGCAAGTGGCCATCGTCACGGAGAAGCGTCTGTGTGTGTGTGTGAGAGAGAGAGAGAGAGAGAGAGAGAGAGAGAGAGAGAGAGAGAGAGAGAGAGAGAGAGAGAGAGAGAGAGAGAGAGAGAGAGAGAGAGAGAGAGAGAGAGAGAGAGAGAGAGAGAGAGTTACGGGGGTTGTTGTTAGCATCTGGTGCTAGCTCGGAGCTAACGGAGATTAGAAGCTGTTTCAACAATAAGGAGAGAGAGAGCTGAGATAACATCAGCTCAGGGAGGTAAAGGACTCGCTGAGTGATTATATTGTAAACTTTAGTCTAAGTTATCTCAGTGGGTCTCAAACGGTTTGGTCTAAACAAATATTTCCATCTATTTAATATAGTTGTTAAAAATAAGTTAAATCATTCCAATGTCAGTAAAAAATTAAAAACACAGTTTGAAAGGTAAGATAAAGATAGGAGAGAGGAGTATATCAATGATGTGTTATTGGTTGTGAGCATATTTAATGGTTTTTGGAGTATTGAAATATATACAGTTCTGTTTCATATGAGTGTTGAGAGCTGTATCCATAAATCTCTTAATTTGTGCACCAGATTGATGCCTTTAACTTCAATTTAAAGAAAACAATCTTACCGGGGGTACATGCCCCCGGACCCCCCTATAGGATGTGAGGTCATCACAAATATGGATAGATACATTTGCACACTCATTATATACACTACACATTTTTCTTGGATTAGTTAACACCATAGTCAATAATATATATTTGTAGAAAGGCAGGAAATTGAATGAAATCGAGAACAATGTTTCATTGCGGAGGACCCGCTGTTTTGTGTGTCCCCCACTTCTCAAACCAAAGTTACACCCTTGCGTACATGTTTAGTCGACTCTTCACACACTTGAGTCTACACTGCAGCTATAAGACGTTAATGTCAACCCTTTTAACAGTGCAAATAAAACTGAATTGACTGAGCTGAACATGAAAACAGAAATATATACAAGGTTTTGTTAAAAAGGTATACGTTTTTTCATTTGGAAAGTTATCGTAAATATTACAATGGCTGCAAAGGGAGCATGAAAAGCTAACTTTAGGGAGACTATTTAGCTCGTGCTACAACGAACTAACGTAACACTTCCTGTCAAAGTTAGCAGTACTTAACAATGAATGAAGAACTCATTCACCAGTTTCAAAAGCTTTAAATATATAGAAACATCTGTCAAACAAATACACATGACTGACAGGTTATTTTGCTAGCAGAGTTTGCAGAGAATGGACAGTTGGTGTGTTAGCTACAAGGCTACGGTTAGCATTCTGCTTGCTAAGTTAGCTAGGTTTGGTTGACGTTGAATCTGCGGGAGTCGCCTACCATCTTCTTGCTGTCTGTTGTTCGGTTGGATTGCCTGGACATTGTGGACAGTGATACAGGCTTACACAGATAGCGACTCGAATGTAATCCTTTATTTATTTGATTCTGGCGTAGCAGTTATTTCCGTAATCACCAGAGTAGACGCAAAACCAGAAGTATCATATAGCTGGTTTAATCCACAACTTCCGGTCATAGTTCAGACTAAAAGATTTATTTAGATATCATGAGTGATACAAAGCATGGATATGAAGGGGAAACGAATTCCATTCAATACAAACAACAGTTGTTGGTCCAATTTCCTTACATATAGCTATAAAGGTCAATTTTTTTGCTTCCTTTGTCACATTGCTAACTTTATTTTGAAGTCTGAATGAATGTACTTCCGGTAATGCTTTGGTAGATTTACAAACTTAGTTTTTATGTCAGCTGTCTCACCAAACATTTCCTCGGCTGTTTGCAGGGTGTTCATCGCCGTCCTGCGTCTTGGAGGGAGGGGAAAAGAGGCACTCTACTTTTAAAACTATTCTTATAGTTGACCACAGGATGGCAGTATATGTAACATATTGGCAGTAAAATAAACCAAACGACCTGGTATTTTCTTGATAAAGCGAAAATACAGCTTTTAAATATAGCATAGTATATGCAAAACATAAAGTAGTGACTATTCATATACATGAGAGAGAGAGAGAGAGAGAGAGAGAGAGAGAGAGAGAGAGAGAGAGAGAGAGAGAGAGAGAGAGAGAGAGAGAGAGAGAGAGAGAGAGAGAGAGAGAGAGAGAGAGAGAGAGAGAGAGAGAGAGAGAGAGAGAGAGAGAGAGAGAGAGAGAGAGAGAGAGAGAGAGAGAGAGAGAGAGAGAGAGAGAGAGAGGACGGTCTGAGAGCTGGAAGAGAGTCAGTGTCAGTGTTGGGTTACAGATGCGGTTTAAAGTCGACCTTGCATTACATTTTACAGCTTGGCAATCAGAAGTTGTTTTCTCCAGGTTACGTATTGATCGGTATTAGTAGACAATTTGCATAACCCGCATGCCGGTTGGCTGAGAGACAATCATCCAATCTTGTGAAACAAACTCGCCCTGCTTTCCGGGGAAGAGGAGGAGGAGTAGGAGGAAGGGAGTGCATCGGCTCTTACACACACTGCTGTGTTGCAATTTATCAAATAAGAAGCTATTTGACAAAAGCCGGCTCGGACCGCAGGGGCTGTGGAGGAGGAGGACCAGTGCAATGATGACGGGCAGATCTGTGAAAGACGTTGACAGATACCAGGCTGTCCTCAACTCTTTGCTGGCGTTGGAAGATAATAAATTCTGCGCTGACTGCGAATCAAAAGGTAAGTGATTGCCGATGTTTCCCAGTCCAGTCCATGCCGGTAAATAGCCAGGGCATAGATCGACCCTCTTGCTCCTTTACTACGCTAGAAAATGCGGCGGTGCATTCATCCTTCCTCGACCAATTACCTTGCACTATGCTGCAAGACACGGCAGCACATCCTCACAAGGCTGGAGCTCAAAGTGTATCTATCACCAAGTCGTTATTATATATGCATATTTAATGTGGAATACCTTTCATATAATAAGGTTTTTGTTAATGATGAGAATTAAGGAACTTTAATACAGGAAGGAACGAGTAAATGAGATCATGTGTAAAAATCAGTCTAACTAATGGGACCTCTGCAAGACACCTGAGGCTCCCTGAACTCCAGTTTGGAAACCACGGGGGTAGAAGGGATGGAAACACAGATAGATACAACATCAGTACTGACTTTGAGTCACCCTGAACAGCATGTTCCTGCCATCTGAGGGCAGACAGGTTACAGGGACAATATTAATGTGGATGGATTATAAGCGTGTCATCCTCACTTATTATTATAATGTTATTGTAAAGTAATTTGAGTAATTGGTGTGTTAGTGCTTCATATTGTCTTTCATTTTTTACTTTTTGAGAGATTGTTGGTATAGTATCCTTGAATCATTCTAACCTGTATTATAGGATTAGTATATAGTTGTTTAACTCGATCACAACCAGTGTTTGTGCAACTTTCAGTCTATGTAGCTGCCTCATGCTGTTTAATGAACCTGTTTGGCCATGCTGGTCAATAAACACTGATGTTTTGGTCACAAATACACTGAGTTTGAGACGGAGTCCCACACTACTTGCCTTAATTTTGTTTTAGGATAAACTGTCAATAAGTTGTTATGAATTGATGATATCTGTGAATGCAAAATGCCACTAGATGTCCATACATTGGCAGATAAATGCACACAAAACCACACGCAGGTGTACGTAAACAACTTATGTCAAAACTTTTAAAGAAAACCTTTAGATGTACCATGCAGTATTCCAAACTGGTTTTGATGCAACTCAGTTAAACTGCTGCTGTTTAGATTGATAAGACTGACCTGTCCACACCATGTCAGAGAGAGGATTGAACAGGGAAGCTACATGTCACGTTTCCACTTCCACACGACTGAAACTGCTCCCGCCTCAGTCATAAATTCTCGAGTGAAGGCTTAATGTACGTAAATCCCTGCAGGCGGTCACACCGGAGACACCCTTGGGATTCCTCATGAAAATGTTATGAATTATATGAGTAAACTGCTTTCCGTATTCTACAAGGATTATGTTGTATTCTGTAGGGCCGCATTCAGGTTTGGATCTGAGCTTGTTTGCTTCACAGACAGAGGTAGACAAACAGACAAATGGACAGGCAAACAACCGCAGAGAAATCTGATGTGTACAAAATCAATAAGTTACTGTATAGTAGCTGTTTTGTGTGCCATGGTTGCTCCTAGGGGGAAACATTTCTTATGTTTGGTGCACATAAGGACAGACGGACAGACCTTTTGACATCCAGTAACTTAGCTGACCTTAGCCTTGGTGCTAACTCAGATTGTGATTGTTATTGGGCCATGACTACCTGTGTGTTTGTTCTGCATCTTTGATTACATCTCTTTGTCTTCGTCTGCCTCCCCAATACTAAGTCTGTTTGTCTTTTAGGAAATTATCCAGGGTGATGATGCTCGCAGCACAAATGTTTTATTAAAAAATCACATCAGGTGGTTTTCTCTCTGGACTTGCTTTCTTACGTAAACTAGAACAACATAATTTCACTGGCACAATTGACTGCCTTAGCCTACAAACAGCCTCAATTAAAAAAGTATTTTGTAAGTCAATAACTTAATTCATCTGTGACAATTGTAAAAGCAATACCTTCTTACATATACCCTTTTTAAAGATTGATTCTCCATGTTTTATCGAAACCTTGCTTCCACACACTTGCACATATCTAGTGGCTATTTTTACAGTTATCTTTTGAGTTGACTTGTGATTTCAAGGTCTTGGTTGGGTTTAAACTGCTTTCGTCAGCAGGACACAGTGCTTGTTTTTTTTAGTATATGGCCTGTGGATGGTATTTTTAATTTGATATAAATAGGATTTCAGGAGCTGTAAGACTTCAGGCAAGAGACTTGTGACTGTTCAGAAGTCAATTTTAAAAAAGCACGCTGTGATCAGACTCTTGCAGCTTATGTAAAAATGTGACTGCTCGTCTAAAACATCGACAAAAGCAGAGGAACACAGATGATGAGGCATTATTTCTGATTGTGTGCAGTGGTGGACCTTTCTGGACCAAATCAGAGACATGTAAAAAAACAGACATTTAAAATCTTTAGGTTTGATTGTTGCCATTGATGTATTCAAATAATCAAATGGTGTTTATCAGGCATGCCTGCATCGCTTCTTTGATTGGCTTGACCTTAAAGTGCAGCAGACTGGTCCAAATGCAGATGAGATTAGGAGTTAGTGGAGAAAATAGCCACACACGGACACACACGGACACACACAGCTTTATTTGTAGCTTTATCTTGAAGAAAAAATATCTTTTGAACATTCAGGGACCTTTCACTATCTGAAGCGAATTTGCTGGCGGGTATAGCAGAAGCCTGTTCTGCATTTATTATTTAACCATTTCATAACATGTGGCTCCATACTACAATTGATAAGGTCACACATCACTCTCACTTCCCACCTTTTTTTCACGTAACTCTGCTAATGAGCTGGCACTGTAATGTAGGTTAATGCTTGAAGAGATGTGTTTCATCTCATACCTGATTAGCACACACTCTCACTAAACTACACACGTGTGCACACATAGTGCACACCCTTAAATCGGTTGTCCCCTCCCTTCCTTCTCCAAAGGCTTTGACCATATGGCCTGTGATGAGGTTCGGTCTAATCTTGTTTGCTTTGACATAGATCTCCGTGGGTTTATCACCCTCCTCCCTCGCTGTGATTCAAGAGGAAGTGGTGAGATGTGTGGAGCCAAGTGTGTGCTTACACCAGTGCATGAAAACACACACAAACACATTAGCAATGCTATTAGATCCTCACTGTCTATGCTTACTATACAGACTGCAGCAATTAAACCATATCTCTGCCTTTTGACTGCAGCTTACTGCCAGGTCTGCACAACTTCCCATCTCTAATTTCTCCTATATCGCATGACGTACTGTATTATTTGTTTTTTGTATTACTTCCTCAGAATGTGACACTTCATTGTACATAATCAAAACTGCCAGGAAATAATGCAAAGAAGGGAGAGAGAGGGTGAGGCAGGTGCATAATGTAGTCAACACTTCAACCTCTGGCTTCCATCTCAAGAGGCTGCTGTGTGTGTGTGTGTGTGTGTGTGTGTGTGTGTGTGTGTGTGTGTGTGTGTGTGTGTGTGTGTGTGTGTGTGTGTGTGTGTGTGTGTGTGTGTGTGTGTGTGTGTGTGTGTGTGTGTGTGTGTGTGTGTGTGTGTGTGTGTGTGTGTGGTGTGTGTGTGTGTGTGTGTGTGTGTGTGTGTGTGTTGTATAAAGCCTCCCTCCATTGATGTCCCCATTGTACTTGTGTTTACGTACATACCGGGCCCTGGTTGCCGTGGAGATATCACCTGGTGATATCAAGCTTTATCCCTCCACGAACACTTAGCCCCCGCCCCCCTTTCACCCTTTAATCTCATCCAATCAGACGCCAGCAGGGATTTACCTTGTAACAATCAGGTGATTGGTTGTTTGTGTGCCCTGGCTGTCATCGAGTTCAGACTCAGAGTACCAAGGACAGCGTGTACTGTACAATATATTACTGTGTGCACTGTATACTGTATGCACTGTATACTGTATATTACTATATTTCCCTCAATCCTCAACTCTGTGTGCAGTTTGGACATTATTTCTGAATTATAACATGGTCCTAACTTTAGGATATATTGATTTAATCATAGTTTAAACCTAAAGTCGTTCAATTACATTTTGAAACAGAGCCCTAAAACTGCGACTGAACACATTGTAATATAGTAGGAACCCTTTAAAAGAATAGTTTGGATTGATTGAAATGGGGTTGTACCCTAATCTATGTATACCGTATAGTGGGCAGAGTGAAGAAGATACGTTTGTGAATCCAAACCAAGTCCAACAATAACAGCCACAAACTTACCGGTCAGGCGTTAGTAAACCAGCAACTATCGTGTTCAGAGAGGTTACATGACTGTTTTTGTCAATGGTGTCTGGTGGGTTTGATAAGAGCGTGGCTAACAGCTTCATTCCCCTGTCAGAAAATCATGTCTGAGAGCTGAGTAAAGCGGTGAAAATGTTCTAATTATGGTAATTATACCGTACACTAAAAGTTGTATTCTTTTTTCTTGTTGGTGGGCCTTTTCAAAACACAATTGGCTGCTTCCACCGTCGACATCACTACATTGTTTTAATGGCACAATGTCGAATGCAATTGAATATATTGCAAATGATAAGTACCTCGTTCAATCTCACATTAAGGGTTGTCTTACAGTGAAATGTAAACAACAACAATACACCTATTATTATATTGTTCCCTTTTGGTGTCAGTGGCAGTAAAGCGAAAAACAGAGTTTTAAAAAGTATATAGAGTACTGTGGGTAGTGTTTTAGTTGAAGTTGGGCATTGAATTATTTAATCTTTAATGTTTATAGATCAAGGTAAAGGATAGTTATAATAAAACATTTTTATTACAAAGTTCTCTGAGAGTTGTTCAAAATGTATATTCAATACAAGAATGCTCTGTCTTTAACCAAGCAATAAAATAACTACAGAGATTAAAATAACAATAATGTCAGTAAACTGATTAAATGAAGCATAAAATCATGTCTAAAAATGTGATTTAAAGCTTACAGTGACGGCGTGTTTTACTCATCTTTTCATGTATGAGCAATTCAAACCTCAGTGACTCACCTGCAGGATCACAGTCATGACACTGCCATTGTAACACAGATGGTGGGTGTGTATTAGTAAATTATCAATAGGGTCCATCTGCGTA